GATGGGGAATTCTGGGAGTTGAAGTCCACCTATTTTAAAGCATGCGGATGGGGAATTCTGGGAGTGAAAGTTTACCCCTCTTAAAGCATGCAGGCTGGGGGATTCTGGGAGTGGAAGTCCACCAATTTTAAAGCCTGCAGATGAGGAATTCTGGGAGTCGAAGTCCAGACATCTCAAAGCCCATTAGCTGGGGAAATCTGGGAGTTGGCAAGCGGCTTCCCTGGAGCCCCCCGCTTCTCTCTCTCATCTTGTCTAGGGGAAGGCGCCACCTCATCGAGCAGATCGAGAAGAACGAGGAAATGCGAGCGATGAAGGCTGAGCAACGTGACCAAGAGGCCCAGGACATGCTGGAGTACCTGGAACGGCTGCAGTTTGAAGATGAGAGGGTGAGGCCCAGAAGCAAATGGGGAGAGGAATGAGGTCTAGTCCCGCTAGGAAAGCCGGCTGGGTGACTTTGGGCCAATCACTGGGAGACGGTGAGTTCTAGCACTGTTTTAGGCACGAAAGCCCACTGGGTGACGTTGGGCCAGTCCCTTTTTCTCAGCCCAGCCCACCTCACAGGGTTGTTGTGAGGAAAATAGGAGGAAGAAGCTATATGGATATGTTCGCCACCTCGAGTTATTTGTAAACATAATAAAGGCGGGATACAAATAAATGTGTCAATAAACAAGGGGGGGTCTCAAGCAAAGTTAGAAGCAAGCAGGAAAACCCTTATGAAGCAGGCTGAGATGGAACTGCAGACTGTGGGTTGTGGTCGATTTTTTCAGGCTAGGTGGAAAGAAAACTCGTAAACCTGTCATTGCACGGTTTATCTGAATTTTCAAGGGAAATGGCATCACCAGGATGATAAGAGACTTTAGGACAGACGAGGACCTGTCATGAGGTCTGTCTGTCTTCTTCTTTGTTTCTTTCCTTCTTTCTTTCTTTCTTTCTTTCTTTCTTTCTTTCTTGCTTGCTTGCTTGCCTGCCTGCCTGCCTTCTTTCTCTCTCTTCCTTTCTTCTCTTCCTTCCTTCCTTTTTCTTTCTTTCTCTTCCTTCTTTCTCTTCCTTCCTTCTTTTTTCTTTCTTTCTTTCTTTCTTTCTTTCTTTCTTTCTTTCTTTCTTTCTTGCTTGCTTGCTTGCTTGCTTGCTTGCTTGCTTGCTTGCTTTCTTGCTTTCTTGCTTTCTTGCTTTCTTGCCTGCTTGCCTGCTTGCTTGCTTGCCTGCCTGCCTTCTGTCTCTCTTTCTTCCATCTCTTCCTTCCTTTTTCTTTCTTTCTCTTCCTTCTTTCTTTCTTCCTCTCTTCCTTCCTCCCTTCCTTCCTTCCTTCCTTCCTTCCTTCCTTCCT